TCATTCCCACCCCTCAGACCATTTGCTGGTCCTGAAAGGCCAAGACTATCTGGTTCAAAGCCAAGGCCTGCTCCAGGATTCTGGAATCCAAACCGAAGGATTTGCAAGCCCAGAACCTTGATTTGTCATGTTCCTTTGAGCTTCTCTGAGGAGTGTGTCTCAGCTACAGGCAATCCTTGCTGCCCTGTGTGGCAAAGAAGAGAGGTTCAGCGTATAACGTCAGATCAGGAGCAGACTTGCTGTCCCTTCTTTAGGAGCCTGCCAGAGGCAGTGATGCCCCTGAATTTCCAGGTGGCCTCTCAGCCTCTGCTTGAATGCTGCTAGGGATGAAATGCTCACCACCTTAGAAGGAAGCCAATCTACATTGAGCAACACCAGTGACCCAATAATTTTTATCATAAATTCTCTATCCATGTTGACTTTTCTAGCCACATGTAAAGTTCTGTGGAAATAAAACCCTGGGCTGAAGTCGTCTTTGTAAAAGTCTTACAAAATCTTTTAAGTGGGTGTACTTAATACCTTCTTGCTCATTGAGATCTTATCATGGGTGAAGAATGCAAGAGAAAAAAAGGCAGATATGATCTCTGATTTTAATTCCAGGACTGGGACCCCTGGGGATGCAGGAGGTGGCCTTCCTGTAGTGGAGAAGGGGGTACTAACAAATACAGTGACGCTATTAAACATTCTCTCTTGAATCCTCACAGCACCGTGAGGTTGTTCTCACTCTCTCTGTTTTACAGAGAAGGAAACTGAGGTACAGAGAGGTTAAGTAACATACCCACAGTGACTCAGCTTGCAAGCCATAGAGGTGAGATTTGAACCAGGGCGTGTATGAGTGTGGAGTTTGGTGTTATATCCCTGGTTGTACCAAAGTCTTTCTCATAGCTGAGCATAGTGGCGCATGGTTATAGTCCCAGAGGCAGGGACTAGTCAGGAGCAGAGGCAGGAAGATCTTGAGTTCCAGGCCAGCTTGGGCTACATAGTGAGAACTTATCTCCCAAAAGACTCCTCCCCTAGGAAATTGGGGCATATCCAATCCTTCCTACAGGGAAAACAGATGTCATCAAAATTTTCTGTTGTATTTGAAAAAAGAAAAAAAAGCCTTGGAAAAGATTTATTTGCTTATTTATTTGTTGGTTTATTTTTGTGGTACAGGGGATCAAACCGGGGCTTTGTGCGTGCTAGGTAAGTCCTCTACTACTGAGTTTCTAACCTGGTAAATTTTTAAAAGATGACTAACAGACAACTCCCCATTCCTCGAGAAGTTGAGACCTCACAAGAGGAAGCAAAGACCACATTCTAAAGCCTTTCTGAGCTCCTGGGAGTAGGTAGGGCTAAGTCAGGGTCAAGTGCATCTGGGAGGTCTGGCAGGTGGTCTGGAATCATGGAATGGAGAATGAGGAAACTGAGGAAGAAGTTCAGGAAACTGAAAGCTGAGGAACTGGGTTAGAAATTTCCATCCCAGAAAGGAGCAGAGGTTTGGGGAGTCCAGAGGAGGGCCTGGGTGATGTCAGGGGCACTTGGTGGGGGCGGGGGGCAGGGAGAGGTGACTTTTGGCCACTTCCTGGTGCCTACTGGCTGCCTGTCAGCCATGCTTGCAGATGACCAGAGGACAGGGTGTTGCCTCTAGGTGCTGAGAGTACAGATTCAGGTCCACCATGCCACCAGATAAGGAGTCTCCCATGCCAGTCTCCTGCCTCTGGCAGCTGGTGTAGTGGAGAACCTAGTGCTGCTCAGGGTGGGCAGACCTGAGTTCAAATTCTCACAAGCCACATCTGTGTGGACAGGAAAGTCACCTAACCCTAAAGACTCTGCTGCCTCCTCTGGGAAATGGCCAGCCCCCATCTTACAGCAACACACAGGAGGACAGGAACTTTCCCTGTTGCCTCCCACTGTGCCTGCTGGTGATCCACCTCTGCTGGTAGCCCAGACGGTGTTCCTGCCCGCCCCCCCCCCCTTTTCATGGAGCAGACTACACTCACTTGCCTTTCTGAGTCTTTAGAAGCAGATCAGTGACCCCAGGGCTTCCACTGGGGCCTACAGGACCACATGAGTGGCTCTCAATCCTGGCTGCATCTTAGGGTCATTTGGGGACCTTTCAAAAACCCTGACACCTGGTCCCACCACCACAAAATTCAATTGAATTGATCTGAGCATCTGTAAGTCATAAATGCTCCCTAGGTGGACTAATGGGCACAGCCATATGGCCCAGCTCCTGCATTGTGCTGGGCTCGCTCTGCCCCAGACTCCCTGCTTCTTGTTCATCTCTGAACATGCTTCCTGCAGGGCCTTTGCTGGAATATTCTGCCCCTGGCTGTCCACCTGGCCTTTACAATTTGTCACTGCCCCTGCCTCTACTAGAGGCCCTTAGTATGTCACCCCCACCCCCATCTCTCCCTGACCCTGCCTTGGTTTGTTCTACTGTACTGTTGGCCTCCTGATGCACCCGGTGCTGATTTGGGTAATGTCTTTCTGCCCCAAAAGGATGTTAGGGCCGGTGGGAGCAGGGCTTGGTTGTCTCGTTCACTGCTGTATCTTCAGGGCTTAGCACACTGCCTAGCAGACAGTGCTCGACAGACTTTTGTTCAAAGAAAGACCATCTCCACCAGCAGGTCTGAGATTCTGGAAGGTGAGGCAGTGCCATGCACTTCAGGGTCCTGGCACCCAGCACAGGGCCAGGCACAGAAGCCGTGGGCAGTTTGCATGCTGAGGGTCTGCTCTGAAGTCAGAGGGTCTGTGGAATGGCAGTGGATGGAGTGTCGCAACTGAAGCCAACACCTAAGCAAGGGGGAGGTGGAAGATGGGCAAAAAGAGGCTTCAAGGAGAAAGGAAAGGGGCAGATCTCCTAACAGTGCTGACCCAAAGCACCTAGCTGGCCCAGGAGCCCAGCAGAGGAGAAGGTATCAGCTCTGACCTCTGGAGGGGTAGGGCGAGAGTTCCCAGAAAGGGTGGGGCAGGGGAGAGCCGACCCCAGGTTCCACCAGTTGACATGGGGCAGCACAGCCTGGGAGGTGGTGCCCTCCTTTATCCTGCAGTGATCAGATAGGACCTTTTGTCAGCAGTTGTGGGGCTGCTGCAAAGCACAAATGCCCTTGCCAAGTGGGCATGGCACAGGGGAAGGTCGGTTGGGGCCCTGGGCATTCCTGACCCATCCCAGGAGCAGACGGCAAAGTGAAGCCAGAGGGGACAATTACTCACTGGAGTGCTTATGGTCACAGACTCCAGCAGAAAGGACAGGCTCCTGTTTATGAGAGCCACATGGCATCAGGAAATGACTGCTGGGTGCCCAGGAAACTAAAGGCTCCAGGACATGGGGCTGGGCTATGACTCAGTCTGGTCCTGGCGAGCCCAAGGTCAGCTCTGCAGCCCTTCAGCCCCTCTTCACTCCAGAATCTGGTTCCCCTCTCCATACCCGTGATTTTTCCACTGAAAGTCCTTGGGCCCCAACTACACACAACGCCTGGGGGAAGCCCAGGGCAGAAGCTCCATGGGCCTGTGGCTTCCACAGACCCCAGAAGCCCCTGGATGTGTCTTCACAACCACAGCTGCAGTAGCCCCAGGAAGACTGGAAGACGCAGGTGCTTCTGTACATGGTGGGTCGTCTCAGCCCTGACACCTGGTGGTCTCCAGTCCTCCGGTAAAGTTACATCTGCCAGGCAGGCCCTTCCTGTGCTTGCTTTCTGCCTACTGGGCCTCTCACTGACTATGCTACCCCTCCTCCCTTCCTTGAAGATCAAGGGCAGGGGGCATATAGACTTAGGATTCTAATTTGCTATGTCACTTAACCCTCCCTGAGGCCCCATGTCCTCAGGAGGTGGGGAGAAAAGGGTTGTGGTGCAGTCAATGACAGCTGACCTGGATCTATTGCTGGGCAGGGAGCTTAGCTAACACTAGTCCGACTAGTCCCTTCAGATACAGCGGGAAGGGATATCTCAGATGCCCACCACGTGTTTCCCGGCCCACTCCTCCCAGCAGGCACTGGTTGCTATCCTGAACTTTAGTAGGGAGGTCTAGTGCCATGGAAATTGTGCCGGGCCAAGGCTAAGCCCTGGCCCACCCTGACTTCCACCGCCTAGGGAGGCATCAGTGATGTCCCAACACTGGCACCCTCCTCCACATAGCAGTGGTCCCTCAAATATGCAAGCAAGTCACCAAGTTCTCAAGGCCACCCTGAGGCCAGGGAGGGTCAGGGGGTGTGGCTTGGGCTCTGGCATTCTCACAGTGGTCTGAGGAGAAACCACCTGAAAACAAGGTTCTCAGAAGCTGAACTCTTGAGTATTTGTAGGTAGATCCAGACCTAAAGGAAGACGCAGTCCAAATGGTAGCCAGAGGTGGGTTTGAGGTTTGTCATAGTTATTCTGGAGCCTGAATTAGCGAGGCTTGTACCCCTCCTGCTCACCCTGACCTTGGTCCCCCTCAATGTCAACCCTCTCTTGAACCTGGTGCCAACCCAAGAAGATGGGGGGTATTTGGTGTTGGGGTACAGAACAGGGGTCAGCAGCAGTAGCTAGACCCCAGGCCCCTCCTCAGGGCTCCTGGAATCTCCAGGTCAGCTCCACCCCACAGGTTCCTAGCCTGGGCCAAGAGTAGGACACAGAACATAGGCGCTCAGGCTTACACCTCCTTTGTCCCATCTACAACCTTCAGTGACCCCCACCAGTGTTGACATCTGGTCCTGAACACAGCAAGGAGGGTTCTAGAACCTCCCTAGGCCCAGGGCAGGTTCACAGATATACACACATAAAGTAAAGAGGGGTTGGCTTGTGTGTATCTATAAGCCACATCCAGCCAAATGCTTCAGTTCTTCATCTTTGGCATCGATCTACCAGTCAGCTTTTCTGCATGAGACTGCTGGCTGTTTTCTGTACGACAAGAATTAAATATATTATCTGTCTTTGTGCTGAGTCACAGGACATTCACAGTGGGGGGGGGACGATAGGGGAAGGCGGGGAGGGCTTGGGGGGGGGGGAGCCCAGACTCTCCAGGGCTGCTCCTCAGGCTGAGGGGGTTGGGCTGGACAGGGGGCTTGTGGAGAAAGCCAGGACCTGGCCTCCCCTTGGCCTCTGTCCTTCAAGATTCAGCCAAGTGTTAATGAGACCTTGGGAATACAAGAGGGGTGTCTTCTCCAGAAGCTCCCAGCTTCCAGAGTGGGGCTACCAGGATCAAACTTTCTCCCATCCCACGTTCTCCAGTTCACACTGTGGCATTTATACCACTTCTTCTTATGGCTACTGTCTGCAGAGGCTGGAGCCAGGGTCAGGTGGACAGAGCCACAGAGCTGGGAAGGAGCTGAGGTCAGTCTGGCACCTGTTGTCAGGGTGACCCTACATATCTGGGTGCTATTCTCAGGACCCCGAGCTAGGGCCAACTTATCAGCCGTCAGGGGTGATAAGATCTGAAGGAACAGCTCTTGGGAAGGGGGGCATAGGTAGGAGCTGTGTCAGTGCTCCAAGGGCGGGGCACATTCTACCACCTGCCAATTTAAGGCAACTCCATCCAGACTGGGAGATGGGCGGGGGCTGGCTGAGGTGGCAGGAGTGCAGCTGGCAGCGCCAGACCACCTCCAATACAGCTGGGCATCTGGCACATTGGTGCTGCTCAGCCTTGGTTCAGCCTGAGGGCACACAGGGCTTCAGGCGAGGAGGGGATGAGAACAGGGTGGGGATGGTGAGAAGACAGGCTACTCTTTCCTCTGCTGCTCCAGGGTAGAGGAGTGGCCTTTGGCACAGGTGTGGACACCCAGGATTCCAGGGTCCGGACAAGGTGCCATATTCCTTCTTGCTCTCAGAAGGGAAGTAGGTGAAATATGTATGGGGTCCAGGAGTCAGAAAGGGAGTCTGCCATGTCCTAGTGAGGCAGGCAGGCCGGCCCCAGGAGAGGCAAGGTAAGAGCCCATGTCCAGGCCTGGTGATTAGCCTGGTGTCTGGATTCCTCTGTCCAGGAGGGCCCTGTGCTGGTGTCCAAGCACTTCAGGCTGGGAAAGTGTCCAAGGTCCTTCTCTGTACTCTCACCTCTCAGGGAAGCAGCTCATGCCCAGCCACATGGTGGGTGATGGAGAGGTCAGTATGCAGGCAAAGGCCATCAGGGAGGTGTGTGGGAAGCAGGGAGAGGAAACAGCTGCGACCAGCATGGCTGCCAAGTGGTTCTCCAGGCTGGCCATCGGCCCAGATTCCTCAGTCCTCCAATGGCCATACAGGCCCCGTTCTACCCAGATTTGTGTTCCATGTGATCTCTGGTCCTTTGAGCCACAGCAGGGTGGGCATGTCTCAGAAGATGCTCTGCCGACGGCTCTTACCTCGTCCTGGAGAATGGGGGAACAGGGAGGAGCGTACGCTAAGAAGTGCCCAAGATCAGGAGGGACCCTTGTCCCTAGATGACCTGACTGAGTAAGCAAGGGCATGCACAGGGGAGCCAGGCAGTCCTGGGTTCAAATTTCATCTCTGCTACTTACAAGTGGCATGACCTTGTGACTTAACCTCTCAGGGCCTCAGTTTCACTGACCGAAAAGTAGGGAACATCAATAGTACCAAGTTCTCAGGGTATTTTAAGTGTTAAATGAGACAACACACGAAAAGCCTTCTCAGGTTCAAGGCCACTGGCTGTTGTAAGGAAAAAGGACAGTTCTCCCAGAGAGCTCAGGTTCTACAGAGGGAATGTGCCAGAGACAGTATGTACCTCTGCCAGGGCTACTGTCAAAGGCAGTGTTTTGTTTGGGTGGGGGCTGAGGAGGGCAGGACTGGATGAGGCAGTGTGGGTGGGAGAAGCTTCCAGAAGGGAGTAGGGGGCAGGGGTGCTTGCTGATTCCCCATCACTGGGGTGGGCTGCTGGGCCCAGCTCTGTTCAAGCGAGCCTCCACTGCAGAGGGGTAGCCTACCTGGCCTCCTCTTCAAGAGGAGTGGGGGAGGCACAAGGCCTACCTGGCTGCTGGAAGGCCAAGCCACGGTAGCCTGGGTCTTTCTGGAGCTGGATCTCCTTCAGGGAGAAGATGGAGGCAGCTGGGTGAGAGAAGAGAGGCAGGGAGAGGGCTGAGTAGAGCCAGCCTGCTCCTGGACCCTGCCCAGTCTCCCATTGAGTGAGCAGAGCGGGGGACCCTAGCTGGGGCAGCCCTTCACACAGGACCAGCCCAGGAGGACCTAGTGTCTCATAGTTTGCCCCCTTAGTTTGAGTGAGAACCAGTGGAGAAGAAGCCGTGTGTCCAAACCTGCTAGCTGGCCCTGGGTCCTGGGCCTCTTGGTTTCAGCTCTCCACCCACACCTGCTACCCCATTTCTCTGGTTCTGGGCTGGCCCTGCCCCTCAGTCAGACACTCACTGTCTTCAAGCTGGTGCACACATTCTCCCAGAGACCGGAAGTAGGGATGACTCAGGGCCGCCTCTGCTGACATACGACTCTTGGATTCATACTGAAAGGCACAGGGTGGGCTATTGGGCCCCGCTAGGGAATTGTGGGAACTCCTTTAGGCAGTACAACTTCTATGCTAAGTTAGCTCGCCAATTAAGGAGAGGCCTGAGTTTCCTTGAGAGACTCCTGGGGTCAGTGGCTGGTCCCCACTGGATTGGATCCCATGCAGTCTCAGGCCTCAGGCTCCCAGGGGTCCAGACACCGGGAAAAAAATAGAGATGGGACTTCAGGGAAGGGACCCCCTCTTGGGATGAAAATACAGATGCTAAGGCGATGGTGATCACACCTGAGTATGGGTAATATTTGTAGGTAATATCGATGACTGCCCTTTATTGTGTGCTTGCTCCAAGACAGGAACCACAGTGCATCCCATAATCTCAGTGCATCATCAGGGACTATCTTACCAAGTGTGCATCAATTCCACCGTGCAGTTGAGGAAATTGATGCACAGACAAGTCCCCTGGAACATGCCCAAAGGTACCCAGCTAGTGAGTGGGTCTGAACTAGGCTTTGGGTGAGAAGTGAGACTCAAAGATTGAGTATGAAAACCAGTTCTCCTCTTAGGCCTTAGGGGCCCACAGAGTGCAGGAGAGATAGTTCAAAAACGTTGAGCACAGGAGTCACAGAAGTTGGGGCACAGGGCAAAATGGGGGCTTAGGCCTGGATATTTTGCTACCTCTCTCTAGGTCAGCTGGAGGATGCTCACCAGGAGGAGGCTGGTCAGGAGGTTAATGCCATCTGTATCCAACCTGCAAGGAGGAGACACTGATACCGGGTGTGTCTGGGTGGGCTGGGAAGGAGGGGGCCTCTGGGAGGGAGAGGCAAGGGCATGGAGGGGTGGGGCGGGAGGCAGGGCTACCTGGGAGCATGGCTGAGCAGAGGCTGTGGCAGGTACCGCGGAAAGTTGTAGGCTTGGAACTCTGAGAGGGCTGTCACACCTGGCCACGTCTCTTCCGTAGGGGTCCCTAAAGAGACGAGAGTGGGTGGGGATGGCATGAGTGAGGGACCAAAGCCACATGGAGCGGATGCAATGGCTAAGGAGGCAGCAAAGAGGAGACCAGGAGGACCCCGCCCTGTTGAGATCTGCCAGGCCATCCTGCCCAGTCCCTAAGCGCGCCTGGGTTGGGCGGAGTTCTGGCGCCCCCTGGTGGCGGAAGAGAGAGGGAGAGAAGACTGACCTAGGAGGCGAAAGATGAGGTGCAGCTCCTCCTTGACGGTGGAGCCTGGGAAGAGGGGCCTCCCTGTGGCCATCTCGTAGTGGATGCAGCCCACACCCCTGCGGGAGCAAAGGGCACAGAGGCATCAGGAAGGGGCAGCTGCCCTGCCAAGGTGACTGCAGCTGTAACTAGCCAGTCCCACTACAGCCCCTCCCTGGGGGCTTCCTGGGGTCCTAGGAAGGCCTGGCTTCTTCCTTTCACTCTAAGAGACTTGGGTCTGCATTGCCCTGCTGGAAGAGAGAGGTCCAGACATCCATTCTCCTGGGAGGAGATTTGGGGGGTTGGAAATCTAGCACTGACATCCAGCAGAAACCTGAATGCTAGCTTTAAAAGTTTGGGCTGGTTGTCATTTTACCCCAAATCATACAGTTGTTAACATCAAAACAACACATCCCTTTCAAATTTTTCACTAGGATTGATGCACGGGAAAGATTCATTACATTTACTGAATGGGTCTTTTTACCCTCTGGTAATCCGTGCCCCAACCCCTGGGGGAGCATTTTAGAAGCACAGTGTTGGAGTGTCCATTTAAGCTGAGGAAACTGATCTATTTCAGAGTTAAAATTTGTTTGTTTGTTTGAGACAGGATCTCATGTGTAGCCCAGGCTGGTATCAAACTCGCGATCTTCATACCTCAGCCTCCTGAGTGCCAGGATTACAGGCCAGGCTGTATGCCTGACTTTCAGACTTAATTGTTGAACAGCCAGTGCAACAGGGAGCCATGGGACTGTGTCAAGAATGTTAGGTAGTTCTTTTCAGAGTCTAGGAATGTGGGAGTCCCCCTTGCTCCCCACAACCCCACTCACTCACCACATATCGATGGGGGTGGAATACTCTGTGGATCCCAGCAGCACCTCAGGGGGCCTGTACCACAAGGTCACCACCTCATTGGAGTAGGTCTTTGTAGGCACTGACTTGGCCCGGGCCAATCCTAGGGAAGACTTGTTACTGAGTCTCTGCTGACGGTGGTGCAGCGTCAGCCTCTCCACAGCACGCCCCACATCCTGAGGAGGTGGTGCACCTGCCCGCCAGCCTGCACCCTGCCCCTGGCCTCACCAAAGTCAGCCAGCTTCAGCTCGCCTCTCTCATTGATGAGCAGGTTCTGTGGCTTCAGGTCCCGATGCAGGATTTTTCGGTGGTGGCAGTAGGCCAGGCCTCGGAGCAGCTGGAACATGAAAATCTGGGGAGAAGGGAACAGAAAGAAGCGGAGGGAAGATGGAGGAAGGTCCACAGAGGAGATTATCTTCTGCCTTAGCTCCAGGCTGGGACAGAAATGGGGGCAGAGACTTGAGACTTGGCACAAGTCCCTGGAGAGGCCCCCACTCCCCACAGCTCCATCCTGAGCCCATGAACACCAGGGAATCCCACAGGGAGGGGAAGCCCAGGTGTATAGGGGAGGCAGTGAGTGTGAAGAGGGTGGAGATGTCTCTAGTTGAGCAGGGATCCGGAAGCACAATGGGTCAGGAAGGCCTCTGTGTGGGACTTGGTTCTTTAACAAATACCACAACAGGCTATCCATCCCTCTGAGCTACCTGGAAGCCTCCTTTCATTCTGGCAGGTAGCTCAGATGGGAAAACTAATGGTCAGCGTTAGGGTTTATATCAATATCAGCAGCACAGGGTGTGTGTCTGTGTCCCTAGGCTAAGGTGCCCAGTCCCACTCCTGAACTCAAGAAATGGCCATGCCCTTTTCTTCCTTCCTGCATCTGAAGTTCTGAGCAACCACAGCAGAGGGGGCCCTGGCAGGATGGCTTCCCATGTAGCTAGCAAAATGAGCTGGCCGGGGTGTGTGGGGTGTGTGGGGTGGGGGTGGGGGTGGGGTTCCTGCCTTAGAGGCCCTCACCTTGACGTTGTACATGTTCATGAGGTTTCCACAGTGGTCCAAATACTGCTTCAGGTCACTGTCCTGGAACACAGACCCTGGCTCAGTGCTGCCCCTTCCTGGCCAGTGATCCAGACACAGACTGAGAGGAAGTCCCTCCCTCAGCAGGGCCCAGTAGCGGGAACAGGTCCCTGACTCTGAGTCACCCCTAAGCTCCTGCATGGGAGCATCTGAGAGCCTGATTTTAGAATTAAGTCAGGGCCACCCCCACCCTTACCCTTCCACTCCCTCATCCCCGCCTCTTCCCTACCCCATTTTATTCCAGCACAAGGGGCGGGGGGGGGGGGAGAGGGTGCCAGCCCCAGCCCAGCTCACCAGGTATTCAAACACCAGGGTGAGGGACCGATCTGTGTGGATGAGGTCATGCAGGGTCACGATATTGGCGTGCTTCAGGTTCTTCAGCAGAGACACTGGGGAGACAGGCCCGCCTGGGTCCCTGGGCCCACGTGCCCCTTGTGCCCTCTCTTCCTGGGGTCAGCGATAGCCCTCCACCCTGGGCTCCCAGCAGGCCCAGGCTGCTGAGCCCCTCCTCCCAGAAGCCCAGGGATGTACGGGGCCCTGGTCACTGTACCCTCTCGGATGGCAGTGCAGGGCGCCCCCTCCTCATGTTCCAGCCGGATCTCCTTCAGGGCCACCAGGTTCTCTGTCAGTTTGCTGCGCCCCTTGAAGACTGTGGCATAGGTACCCTGGGATGAAGGAGCACCTGTGAGTCCCAGGTGCATTGGACTCCCACTTTCCCTGTCTAGTACCTTCCTCTCTTGCCTCTACTTGCCTGGGATTTGGATTTGGGTGGCCTTCTCTCTGCTCCCTCCATTACAATTCGGTTTTGCCCAAAGCCCACTTTCTCTGTGAAGTGCTCATAACAACTTCCCGATCAGAACAGACTGCTCCTTCTTCCACCCCCAGCATGCTAGACACCCCCGTTATTATAATGCCAGGCTTGCTCTTCCTTGTACGAGGCTGATGTTTACATGTAGGTCTCTTCTTGAAGAATGGCCTTCTTCCTCTCTATCAGCCTGCACCCACCCCAGGCTGGTAACACAAAGCCTGACAGTGGTACAGAAATAACTTTGTGACACAGCCCTTGCTCTGTACCAGGTGTTGTCCAAGTGCTGTGTTTAAGTTTATGATAGCGGCCTACTACTCCATCCTCACAACAAACTGATGAGGCAGAACAATTACTATTGCTACTTGCTAGAGGAAGAAATGGAGGTACACATAACTTGCCCAAGGTCACAGAGCTAGTAAATGGTGGACCTGGGGTTCAGATCCAGGCAATAAGTACTTGCAGCGAAAAGACTAGGTTCTGTGAGAGGCCTTGTGCCCTCGTTCAGGGTTAGGCCCACGGAATACCTGCTGAAGGCTGGGCCAGGCTCTGTGACCAAGATGGTGCAACTCTGTGAATCGGGGTCCATAAGGGAGCAGACCGTGGTCAAAACCATCCTGCATGGCTGCCCAGAGAGGATCACATTCAGCAGCTTACCTCCCCCAGTTTGTCCAGTTTCACGTATGTTTCCAGTTTTCCAAAGCCGATATCTGACTGCAAGGGAGACAACAGGGTAGTGTGAGATTAAAGTCCCCAGTCACTTGACCTACTCCACACGTCCCTCCCTCCAGCCTCCAGGAGAGAAGGGAATGACAACCCCATTGTTGCAAAGGCAAAAACTGAGGCTAGCAAAGGGGAGGACAGTCTCAAATCCTTCTTCTTCTCCCTTCCCCTCATCCCCATAAGAGCAGAGGGCCCTATGACAGTGGGGAATGTGGACACCAGAGCTGTAGCTCCTGGAGTGGCTGCTCACCTCCCTCCCCTATCTACTTCTGTCTTTCTCAGATTACTTGCTCCTCCAGGGTGAGGCTGGCTTTTCCTCCATCATGTGAGAGTCTGGTTCAAAACCCATCTCTCCAGCAGTCTCTCATTAGCACAACTTTTCCAGCTCAGAAGAGGTAATAGTGATCGAACTCAGGGCCTCACACATGCTTAGGCAGGTGTTCTGCTACTTGAGACGCACCCCTAGCCCTTTTGTTTGTATTCCTTTTTTTTTTTTTTTGTGGTACTTCATTTTGAACTTAGAGCCTACACCTTGAGCCACTCCACCAGCTCTTTTTTATGATGGGTTTTTTTTCAAGATAGGGTCTAGCAAACTATTTGCCTGGAACTGTGATCCTCCTGAGAAGCTAGGATTACAGGTGTGAGCTCGTTTGCATTTTTATTATTACTGGTAGTTGTTACAAGGGGTTTCATTGTGGTATTTCCACACATGCATTTAATGTACTTTGATCATATCCATCCTCTTTCTTTCGGTGGGATTGGAGTTTGAACTCAGGGCTACCACTTGAGACACACACCTCCAGCCCCCCTCTCTGAGTCTTTTTAGTCTTCTTCCTCCTTTTATTACAATTTTAATGGGTTTCATTATTCTATTTTCATACATGCATAAAATGTACTTCTATCGGATTCCTACCCCCATAACTCTCCCCTTTTGTGCTCCTGCATTTTGTTTTCAAGATAGGGTTTCCTGAACTTTAGCCCAAGTTGGCTTTGAACTCCTGATCCTCTTGCCTCTGCCTCCCCAGGAGCTGGAACCAGAGGCCACGCACTGACTTGCACCCAGCACTTAACAGGACAGATTCTTGAGCCCTCTACTGAGAGAGAGAATTTTACAGGCGTCTGCAGTGAGGCCCTGAGGCTGGGTTTTGTAAGATGCTCCCAACAAATTTGACAGGGAACTAGGACCAGGAAGCAAATGCCACATGGTCCTAATCCTGGGAGACCCTGGGGCCCAGAGGAGGTTTAGAGTTTAGCTCCAGCCAGGACCACCTAGGGAACGGACGTTGACTTAGGAGGACAATCTGTTTGAATCCACAAAGACCAGCAGGTGGCATCAGAGGCCGAAGAATCTTTCTGGAAACCATGACAGGGACAGGCAAAGCCAAGACTGCTAAGTCCATGCTGGGACAGGATGGCCCGCCCTTGTGACCTCTGACCCTCTTGGGACTCACCAGGGAGGCACGGCGGGACATGCGGCTGAGGGGTTTGGGCAGGTCTGGGCTCTCCAGCTGTAGCTTCTGCAGGAATTCCTGGGGCAGCCGGATATCCATGGGTAGAGAGAGTCTCTTGCTGATGTCCTACAGTGATAGGGATGAGATGGGGACACCAAGTTGGCACCAGGGGTAACCAGGGCTGTGGGGCCCTCACCCCTCACTCTGGGCCTATCTTTCCCTGTAGAGCAGGACCAAACCACAAACTCACAGTTGCTTCAAGGGCATGCTCAAAGACATAAGTGAATAGTCGGGGGTTGCTGTGTGACTTAAGGAGGTTTCTTGCCCTCTCTGGGCCACAGTATCACCATCAATAGAACCTAAATCTTATGCCCTCACAGACACTTTAACTCTGAAAGCATAGTTTTCCTATAATGGCATATCATGTGGGTATAAGAACAATAGTCAAGTTGTCTATTACTAGCCTTTACTGTGTTCCAGGAATGTTCAAAGCACTTGTCATATATTAACACATTTAATCCTCACAAAGGAAACTGTAGTATACACAAGTTAAGTAACTTTTACAAAGTCACAGAGTTAATTAGTAGGGCTGGGATCTGAACTCATGACTAACTCCAAGGCAACCATCCTCCTGTGCATCCATCCATGGGTGTGTCCCGTGGAGCTTCCCCTCACCTCCATGGAAAAACGGCGCTGGTTCTGTCGTCGTTGGTACTGCATGCCAGGGGACAGCTGCCCGGTGTCCTCCCCACTGCCTGTTGGGGAGAGGGCACTGGGCTCATATCTGCCAAGAGAACTGAGCTGCAGGTCTGAGAGGGACAGGCATCAGCTCCCCTCCCTGCCACTCTGACCAGGAAGTGGGGAAGGCAGCCCACGGTCCACCCAACCTGCCCTTCTCCCTGAGGCTGCATAGGGCAGGGTGGTCAGCAAGGCTGGCAGGAAAGGCAGGCGGGAGGGCAGGGAGTGTGAGGGAATGAGGTTCCTCACCCTCATTCCTCCGGTTGTGAAGCTGGTTGAACTGCTCGGTGAACTCAGCCTCCTCAATGGTCTCTGTGCGGGGCACCGACAGGGAGAACCGGCGTTTGAAGTTCTTCATCTTGTTCATGATCAGCAGAGACTAGCAGTGGGGTCCTAGAGTGGACGGGAGAGATCAGACCTGCTGCCCTGCATACGGCAGACTTCTTAACCAGAGTCCCAGCTCCCTGAGGGCAGGACCTAACCCGGTTCCTCCCTCCTGGACTCTCAGCCCCTTCCCCACCAGGGTTCCTCCATCAGCCTACACTGAGCACAATGGTGGGTGTGATGGGAAGAGCACCCAAGAGCACCCTCCTGCCGTGTGTTAACCCCACATCTGCTGTGGATCCAGAGTGTTCTGAGGGGGGCAGGGAGGGCACCAGAATTGGGTGGTCCTCAGGCCGGCAGCTCTTTGCCCACTTATCAGAGCCTGGAGATGTCAACAGTCAGGGAGCCTTGCTGATAGATACCCATGGGTGTAACCCACACATTTTGCTTGTTCGATTTTTATTTACTTATCAATTTATTTTTGGCAGTACTGGGAATTGAACTTAGGGCTTATTTGCTCTACCACTTGAACCACGCCCTGAGTTCATAGCCCACACTCTTTGGATGCCATCTTCTTGCTCCAAACCCCATTCCACCTTGATACTGACACTGTGAGTCCCCCTCTCTGGCTTGTCCTAGGTTTCCAGGAACCAAGGAAAGAAACGAGGGAGGGTACATGATGGGAGTTGGCCCAGCCGCACATCCTCTTTAGCTGAACTATGGAGATCAGGAATGGCCAAAGGTCCCAGGGGAAACACAGAAGTTAGCTGGAAACAGAGACACCCCCAGGGGAAGCCGGAGTGCTGGTAGCCCCTCCCTGCCATAGTCCCAGAGCAGGCAGGGCACCTTTTGCCCTCTTCCCCAGGGAAGAAAGGTTTTTTCCCTGCCTTGCTTAGCTCTATTTGCCTCTGCACACTGCTTCCCAATGACACTTGCGAACCACTTCTTCCCACAGGCTCTGAAAATCCAAAACAGCGCTGTCCTGCCCTCCCTCCCTTGTGGTTTCATCGTTCCAGTGTAGCCGTCCCCTCTCCCTGCTGGCCACACTACCTTCAGCTGCAGAGACCAAGAGGGACCAAGATGGGAGGGGCTGCTACATTTCTCCCTGGTTCTGCCCACTCCTAGAGGATGCTCAGTCCTGCCACTGGCCAGCACCTAGTTGCCAAGACAACGGGGCCCCTCTTGAATCCTCCCTGTTTCAGGGATTATGGGCCAGTAACATGTTTGCTTTGCTTAATGAGCACATCCTTCTGTCTTCAGCCAGCCTGGAAAGGGTCCCCACTCTGGCACTGTGTGCTCCTGGCTGCCTCCAAACTTAGCTAAGTCATGGCCCTCCAGTTCTTCTGAGCCCCAGCTGCTGCCTCTCAGAGCAGAAGCCTCAGCTTGGTACTGCCCAGCTGAACCTTTCCCCACTGGGGGTTCTGAAGTCTGACTCAGTTCAGCACAATACACGATGGATTAAGCGCCTACCAGGTGCTACATTGTGCTAGGCACTGTGGTTGACTAAAGCGTGGTCCCTGCTGTCAAGAAACTCAGGCTGGTGATGCCACTTTCTTAAGAGGCAGCCGAGAGTTCTTTGCCCACCTTGGCCTGTCCTGACTTTCCATCCCTAAATTCCTGCCAGCCAGCCTCAGCCACTCCTCACTGCTCTGTGTGATGGCTGTTTCAGGCCTGCTGTCTGCAGGACTCTCAGACAGAAAGGATGCTCCCTGAGGGCAGCCACCCTGCCTTTGTGCAGGGTCCAGCCTGAGGGCCTCATATGGAGGCCTCATGATGGTGGCAGAACAGTATGGGCTCCAGTGACTAGGCAAGGCAGATAAGCCCTGCCTGGTGACTCGCACCTCCCAGCAAGACAGAAGGGCAGAGATGCCCTCACTATACAGATTCACTGTTTTCAAAGCATCACCAGGAAGCATTGTAAGATAACCTTCATATTCCTGCATCCTGCATTTCACCCTGAGATCCTCAAACTGAAGCTTCAAAATGCCATTGTTTTTTGGGGGGGTGATACTGGGGCTTGAACCTCTTTTTGAGACTGTTCTGCCTCAGCCTCCCGCATGCTGGGATTACAGGTGTGCACCACTCCACCAGGCAGAAGATGCAATTTTAAGCAGCATCTCTAATGTCACACAGTCCATGTTCAATCATGGAGCCATGGTTGGGGGAAGTGGCCCAGGTAAGGGCTGATTTTCCGTGGGCATTTCTAGACTGCTCTCGGTGCTGGGGTGGGAGATCCTCAGAGCTGGGGAGGGAGTAGCTGCAGTGGAGCAGGAGCTGCCATTAGGAGAGAAACCATCTCTGCCCTGGGAACAAGCATATCTTATTGCCCAAACCAGTGCCCCCAGGCTCAGTCATGGTCATCCTAGTAGGGGTGAAGGAGGCAGGCAATTTGCTCCCTGAGATCTGAGCTCTGCCAGGAGGGACCAGCCACACCCCTTTCTAAAAACATGGCTTCCCCATAAAACTGTCCTGCAGGTTGGAATTTATGGGATGACATGCTGAGTTTTGGCTCGGGAATCTACCAGTAGTTGCCATAAATCTCACACTGACTCTCACTTGCTGGGCAAGGGGGAGGGGAGTTCACTCAAAGCTCCTGAGAGGGAGGTCAGCTGGCCCCCAGTGCCTGCCAGACAGAGGAGAACCAGCCCTGAATCACACCTGTTCTCCCCAGGGTTCTGTTAGGAGCAAGGAGCCACCAGCTTGGCCTGGGATGGGGTGGAGGGTGGGAAAGGAAGACTGTGGGAGGTGAAACTGGGGGCAGCGGACTTGAACAGGAATGTGGGGCCAAAGTCTTGCAGAGGGATGGGGCCCAGCTGTTCTCCAACCACTGGAGAAGAGACCAAGAGGAAGTAGCTGTCACGGCGGAGGAAGAGATGGAGGTCAGATGCAGGGATGGACTTTCTGATGGTGACAGGGGAGCAGGCAGTGGGGGGGATGGTGAACAGAGCAGAGAGTGGCATCTCTCTCTGCTGGGGACAATCAGGGCATTGAACCAGGCAGGGTCTTGGGTGTGACAGGGCAGTCGGGGCAGTGAATGGTCTGTTGTTCCCTAGCTCAAGACACAAGATGCTTCTGTCACTTCTCCCTTGGGAGAATCAGCTCTTCAGATTTGGGATCCAAGGGGGAAGGGAGACAGGAAAAAGGCCTGTCACCTTGGTGCTGTCTGCCCCTCAGCCCTAACTAGGGACAGAAGCTCAGTGTGACCCAGTCTGAAGCCAGTCCAGGGCCTGGCACAGTGTGGCCTTTGTCCCAGGGCCAGGGAGCCATCTGGGGCTGTCCCGTGCAACTGGTGCCAGGGGAAGAGGGCGATTGGGTCCGGGGGTGTGGTCCAGCAGGGCAGTTGGGGAGTGGGAGAGTCATGCAGCAGAGGTCCCTCTGGAGATGTGGAGTGGCCAGGCAGACTCCAACCAGCCTGCCTCTGCCTCCCTGCCCAGGTAAGCCTTCCTCTGCCACTTCCTTCTGGGCAGACACTAGCAGCCCAGCACTTCCTGCTGGTGCCAGAGAAGCTGGTGGCCCAGGAGGAGGAAAGTGAGCACTTGCCAGAGGCCACTGTGCACCCTGGGAGAAAGGGCCAGGACTCCTGAAGTGCCAGCTAGGGAAGGCACAGTTAACAGGCCTCCACTCCTGTCTCTTGCCCGGTGAGAACATGGAGGCTCCCAGAGGGGAAGTGACCTGCTCAAAATCATGCAGCAATTTCCTGGTGTTGCCAAGGATGCAAACTATGGTCACACTGCTTCTTTCTGCTCCTGATTGGGGCCTCCCAGCCCTGTTCCCTCCCTGTAGTCTAGACTGGAAGTGCTGCTCTCTCCTCTGGTCTCCTCCCTCCTGCTCTGAATCAACAGCCAGACAAACGCAGGCCAGATTCTGGAGCCATGTATGGCTAGCAGGCTGTGTGTGGCAATGAAGTGACATCATCCCTCTTAGCTTTGGTTCATTCAGTCACTCAACAGTTATGTACTGAGCACTCAACAAGAGTGCCAGCCACTCTTGTTGGCCTGAGAATCCACAGGTGAAGGAGAGAGACATTAATTCCTGCCTTTGTACATTCTTCTTTTTGTCTTTTTTGTGGTGATGGGGATTGGTCCCAGGGTCTTGCCCATGCTAGGCAATGAGCTACATCCCTGCCCTTGGACATTCTAATATAGGTTGAGAAGATACAGACAACAGAATAAACAAATAAAATGGTAGATGGTAATAAAGGAAAATCAAGCAGGAAAGAGGAATAGTGTGAGGGGCACCAAACTGCAAGTTTAAACAGGTGGTCAAGAAGGTCTCCCTGAACAGGTGATTTCTCAGAAATAATTCAGAGTAGACATGGGTGAAGGAGTGTCATGAGGAAGCTGGGGGAGGCAGGCCAGCAAAAGAACAGCAGGTGCAAAGTTCCTGGGGCAGAAGTGAGTCTTCCATGTTCTCCAACAGCAATGTGGCTGGAGAGGAGATCAGAGGAACGTGTGGCAGCTGTATTGGACGTCCCAGGGTACATGAGGATTTGAGCAGATGAGTGACAAGGCCCTATTGACATTATAGGCTTCCTCTGGCTGCTGAATTAAGAACAGACTGTGTGGGCGAGGAGAGAAGCAGGGAGTAGTAGGAGGCTACTGCAGAGATCCAGGTATGAGCGATGGTGGTGACTGGCACCAGCATGGGCACAGTGGAGGTGGTAAGAAGTGGCTGGACTTGGGGTGTATTTTGAAGTGGTACCAAAGAGGGTTGCAGCTGGATAGACTGTATGTGGGGATAAGAGGGGAGTGCCACATGTGTGATCCTGAGGGGACTTAGCTGAACAACCAGAGGAGGGCATGGCCCCTGGGGGAGAGAGGGGCTCTGGGAGGAGAGGTTCAGTAGGAAAATCAGTAGTTGGGCTTGGGTGAGCAAGTTTTCCATGGTCAATGCTGTCTGAGTGGTGTTGCACCAGGCAAGCGTCTAGTGCTGGAGCCTTCTTCTCTCCAGTGTCTGCTCAGACATAAATTGCTACCAGAAGCCAGATGCCAATGGCTCATGCCTGTAATTCTAGCTATTTGAGAGGCTGAGATCAGGAGGATCGTGGTTTGAGGCCAGACTGGGCAAGT